ATGGGTCAGCCTGGCCCATATACTGCCATGGTACTCAGTATGGGTCAGCCTGGCCCATATACTGCCATGGTACTCAGTATGGGTCTGCCTGGCCCATATAATGACCCTTCCGTGTTTATTTTCTTACATTCACTCAAGCATTCCCATCCTTTTCCAACTTTCAATCCCTGGCAGACATTCTTGTGGATGTTCAACCATGCGCGGACGGACTGGGGGAACACATACCTGGCTCAAATGCCAGACCTTCTGCATGTACTATATGGCGGGGTTCTGGCCAGACTGGTTCATGTGCTGAGGGGCAGCGAGAGCAATGCCTTGGAGCTTGACGAGTAAGTATACTGTGTTCAGGGGTTGTGGCGCATCCCCTCATTTCATCCCTCCGTCCTGATCACTGCCTCATTTCAACCCTTCCTTCTCCTTGCCTCATCTCGTCTCTCCCTGCTGCTCTTTCAAACCCAAACATACCTTGCTGTTGTTGTTGCGTGCACAGTCGACTCCAGGATATGCTTGACGACACCACATTGGCAGGCCTCCCTGTACCGTCGGGCCTGTATTTCTCGAGGAATTCATACTACTCCGCAGCCGAACATGCTGCCATGCTAACCGTAAGGAGTCGTGAGGACAATGCCAGGTCCCACCCCGGGTTGCTATGTGACAAACACTCTCTGCCGCGATGCAGCGCGTTACTGTAGGCATGAAGGGCATGTGCTGGACCACACTTCACAGCCGACCAGAACCACCAATGTTGTTAAATGTTTGCTCTGTGGCCTATTGTTCCCCATTCACAGATTCTGCCGTTCATTCTCGAGGGCAAGATCGCTCCTGCTAGACTCCAGGCCCTGGTCTTCATTGCAAACTGGCACCAAGATCACATACGGGCAGAGTTCTATACTGAGGAGTCCCTTAAGAAAATGGAGAGCGACACTGTTAAGTAAGTTCGTGTGTCAACCCATAGCATGTGTAGCCCCGCGTATGATCACATTCTGCCCCACCTGTTATGTCTCACAGGCCTTGCCAAGGCCAAGTTGTTGTCCAGTAAGCAACCTTGAACTGTCGGGGGTGCGTCTGATGATTAGTTTCTGCAGGCTGGTTGATCTCTTGCGGACCCACTTCCCGCGGGATGGCGAAGGCTGGAACCTTATCAAGGTCCATGGCTTGAACCACCTACCAGAGGCTATCCGGCGTGGTGGCCACCCCCGGGAGTACTCAACTGCCACGTATGAGAACGCTCACGTCAGGGCATGCAAGCAGCCGTTCCGGAGTTCCAACAAGCGCGACTATGACACCGCCATCTTGCAAGGAAACGCAACGCAAGCGGCATTGCTGTCGCTGCCTCCGGCGGTTCCTGAACGGCCACGAGAGTACATGACGGCAGCCAAACGGGTATGCCCGCTCAATTTCTTCAGAGGCAAATGTCTCGGTAGGTCCTTGGCAGAATGTGCACTTGTTGATTTCGCATCTATGTATGCATGTTACCGTGTTCCTTCATCATCCCACATGCATCCACCCGTCCAACGTGGACCCAAATGCCGTTTTGCTCACCGAAATACACTGGACAGGCTCGGACCTCGGGCAGCCCGGCGTTGACAAACACGTCAGCCACGATGCGTGATGATGGCCATGGCACTACTGCGAGAACCCTTCTCCAACAGTACAGTGTAGCCGTTGGAGGTAGCCTCGGTGCGTACAGCAGTGTTATGCGGCGGGCTGGTTACAAGAGTGACGAGACTCAGGTGCGGATTGCGAGAGGTGCTGGCTGGAAAAGTATAGAACAGAGAGGGCTGTGGGGCGATAGGGGTGCAGACAGAGGGAAGAGGTGAGTGGAAAACGCTAGAACATTGAGATGGGCAGTCAGCCCTAGGTGCGGACAGTGAGAAGTGCGGACAGTGCGAGGTGTGCACAGCGAGAGGTGTGGGTAGTGGGATGGGAGGTGTGGATAGTGAGAGGAATGGAAAGTGATAGGTGTGGACAGAGAGAGCTGTGGACTGTGAGGGCTATGGACAGTCACCCCTGAGGATGGTGAGAGGTGCGGACAGTGAGGGGTGTGGATAGTCGGAGATGTGTGGAGAAGAGGGGAGAGTGTGAGGTGCGGACAGCGAGAGGTGTGGTCCAGGTCTACCTGCGGACAGATGGAGGTGTGGCACCTGTGCGGACAGTGAGGGGTGCGGACAGATGGAGGTGTGGAGATCGGTAGGTGCGGACAGAGAGGGGTGCGGGCGTTGAGAGGTGCAGACAGTCCTGGGAACGGAAAGGCGCTCGGGTGGTGAGTAAACCCTGCTTGTATAGGGAGGGGTTGCCAATGAGAGGTGCTGTTGGGAAGAGGTGGGGGAGACGGAGATAGGCGCAGAGAAACGGAGGAGAGGATTGGGATGCGTTCACTCAGTGAGTGATGCATGGGGGTAGGTGCGAACAGAGAGGGGCGCCGGGAAAAGAATGGTGTGGGCCGTGGGAGGTGAGTCTCTCTAGCAGAGGGTGGCGGTCCCGGGAACCCAGCATCACCCGCGTGTCAACCCACCTCCCACAACTCTCACTACCGGGCTGGGTATGGTAACAGCCTGAACTATTTGGGGTCACCCTCTCATCCACTCCATGATGCCTCTCGTCTCATAAACCCATGCCACCACCCTGCTGGCAACGTAGGCAAAATCCTCACACCCACCACCTCACTTATTGCGTGCTTGTGTATGGACATGCAGGTTCATCGGGCTGTAGCGTTGCCGGCCAAGGACATCCGCACTGGCGAGCCATCGGCCAAGTATGCGCGCGCAGCACCGACACATCACGGCTCCCCTGCCTTCTCCTTTGTGGAGTATGGAGCCAGGGAGGGCGAGGCACTCTACGGGCAGTTGAGCCTCCTCATGAGAGCCCGCAGGAGCACGGATCAACACGGGGCGCCTCTGCATGCGGTGGCGTACATCAAGCCTTGGAAGGCTGTTGGTGTTGACCAGCTCACTGGGTGTGTGAAGCTCGAGGAGCTTGGGAATCCGGATGCCTGCGTGGTCATTCCTATTGCTAACCTTCGTCGCGTTGTGCATGTCGTCCAGTCGTTCGATCGCGAGGGGGTGTGGCTGTTGAACAAGTGGGCGGATGGCCTGCGTAAGGGCGGTGTTTGATAACTTGTTGCCTTGAGGCAGCCCATGTGTATGTGGTAGTCTAGGGATGCATGGTCTACACCTGTAACAATATTTGTGGGGCGTTTGTAGCTGGCTATGATAGGAAGGATAAGATTAAATCCGTCCTTGACGTGCATGTTAGCGTGCCTATCTGACAGGTGTTGCGACATTATAATTTTTAAACACACATGTAGTGTTTTTTAAAATTGTGTATTGTGAAAGCGAAGCTGCTTGTACTGCACAATTGGCATCGTCGAAGCGCGCTAAACGCCCTTCTCCAACTACAAAAACCGTGGGTTGGAGCTCATTTCCCTCCACCCACGTTTCTCAATTTTCAAACGGCTCACTCAACATTCCCACCACCCACCCCAGTGTAAACCGCCTTGCTAATGCCACTTGGATAGGGTACAGAATAGCTAGTGTTATTAGTCCGCACTAGCTTATGTCAAACGATGATGCAAATGTTGTAATACGCCATTTGTAATGAGAACGATGCCAATTGATAAGAAAGAAAGCAAGCTTTCTCAATTGTCGCTTATTAGAATACGCCACAGGTGTGGCGTCTAAACTCTCCTTAATTATGTCGTGCATGATGCATGTTTATACGGTACGGTAACTGTCCTTCCCCTACGCAAAGTGGTGGCAACGTCCCATAAACTAGCCAATTGACCTCAGTTACGCCGGTATACAAAAAGGTGGTTTATAATGTCACGAAGGGGGTTTATAACGAACAACATTTCAATATGAACTTTACAATATGTAAGCCTAAAACGATGTAGTAAATGCTCTCAGTATAAATAACATTGAGATGCAACATAAAGGAGTTATCTTGTTGGAAATTGCCTCGACAACCGCTCAGCTCGGTTGCCGAAGCTGTCGCCGAAGCTCGGTCCGAAGCTGGGGGGTATCCTCTGGGTTACCTCTATTGTAGCCCCCACCTGATTGGTCAACGAAGTCCACCCGAAATTCAGCACGCGAGCATAACCTCATCGCCACTATCGCGAGCCATCAAGGTGACCTCGAGGTGTCTTGGTGGGAACTTCGGGGCAACCCCCACAGCGTTGCCCCGGGGTATCCTTCGTTTTCCATCCGATTTCGGCCTTCAGATTTTTGGGATGCTAGGCCTCTCGCCACATGAATCCCCAAAATCACCGCGGAACTCCGCGGGGGACTTCGCGGAATTCCCAAGAGAATCTGAGGATTTGCCAATGGTGCTCTCAGCTTCCCCATGGGTGCCCGCTCTGCATGACACGCTCAACGGGTCTCACATGCGTTCATTTCAGTGCATGCGGATTCACAGCGGCTCGCCAATGACATTCCGAATGGGGTGCGCGGGAAAACATGATGGGTCATCATGTTATCGAGGAGCCTAAAAAATGGGTGAAAGCTGGACGTGAGACAACCTCGGATGAAGGTTCTGTGTTGCCTCAATTTTCGTCTGATGAAACTGCACTTGACCACCACCTGATCACCCTTGATTATCTCTGCATAGTTTCCTGGCTATTTGAGTACTAACAAACATGCGACGAAGAATCAACGTCTCACATAACTGAAAGTACCTGCTTGAATCTAAACACCGCACTACAATTTAAGCAGGATCATGCAATCTAATCAGTTATACTACCATATTTCCAAGATGATACAGTGGAAGCGGGAGTGATTCCATGCAAACATGCCACTAACCTCTATGATCACTCCTGCATCCACTGCAACATCCCAACGACCCGCTCTTCCCCCAACCCTTCTCAACCAATCGAACCTAGAGCCACGAACTGCAGGTAGGTCCCAAGACCACGTCTTCAAATGCCGACGGGGAGGCATTCTGAGGGATCTCAAATGTCAGTCTCAACTCCTTTCTAGGCACCTCAATTGTAACAGCTTCAGCTTCTAGTGCCGACGGGGAGGTGGGGACGGGGCCGGCGCAGGAGCAACCTTCCTCAGTAGCAGCCTGCCAAACAGCTCCCTAGCTGGTTCTCTCTCTCCTGCTGCCTGTACTGATGCTGGTACTGCTGGTTCTGCTGGTACTGCCACAGGAGGGGGGGGTGGTGGAGACTCACCGATGCTACTACCTCCAGTGGTGTTCGTAAGGTTCCGTGCGGTGAATTCATTCTCGCTGTAGTCATCATCACCCCCATCCTCGCTATAAGCAACCCCGGTACTAGAGGTACTACCGCTGGGAACGTACGAAGCAAATTTGCCGACACTCTTGCCCACAAGGGTGCTGCTGCCGCTGCTGCCAGTGCTGCTGCCGCTGCTACCACTGCTGCTGTCACTGCTGCTGCTAGTGCTGCCGGTCCAGCTGTCCATGCTCCCAGTGCCAGGCTCATAGAAGCTTGGATCGTAATACGGGTCCACAGCGGAAAAGGACGACTCTGTGCCACCTAACGGCGAGACTGACAGGGGCGGCAGAGACGACGTGCTGGCTGAACAAGCACTGTAGATTGGATCGGGGGGAGAGGGGAGAGGGGGAAGGAAAAGGGTGGGGAGGAAGGGTTGAACAGAAAAGGACAAGAGGTATGAAAGGGGGAAAGTGGGGGGGAAGCGGGGGAGCATCCACAGGAGGGGAGCAAGACGGGCTACTCACGAGTCGGAGGAGCAAGCAGTGCTGACGCCTTGCTCCAGTTCCATTGAAACCAGCCCCCTGCCGCTGCTGGTCGCCCCAATATCCAGTTGCAGCCTCGCCTTCCCTCCCCCGCACGCGTACTCCTTATAAACCCTCGTCGCATCCACTAAAGAGCACGGCACTGTGGGGGCGTTTGCCGTCCATTTGCTACTCGACTTCGGCGAGTCGATGATTAGGGAAACCGCGCCGGAACACCCCTGCCAATCGAACACGTTTAGCTGCATTTTACTCGGGTAAAAGTTACTGTTAGTATCTGCCGGAACCACCTCTATCCTGTAAGTGTACCCGGCTAAAAGCGATGCAGTTAAGTAGCGATTCTTTTTCCCTGGGCCCGCTGGTCCGGCATTAGGGTCATCATTCTCGGTTCCGTATGCGTAAAACACCGTCCCATCGTCTGTTCGGGTGATTTTCAAGTAGGAGTAGGGCCGGCTAACAGCACTCGGGCTAGCTGTCGTCCCCTTCGATCCAACCCCGGACTCTTCGTATTGAAGCCCGACCGACCGGTAGCAGACAGAAGTGCAGGAATACGCCGAAAAGGCACTCTTGAAGTCGCACTTTGCCGCCCGGACGGCGGCAGGCGGCAGGATGGGGTCGTAGTTGGCAACGGCGTAGCCTGATTGGCCGAGCAGCGACCCGTCGAGATCGCGGATGGCGTAGAAGCGTGCCAGCAGACCTCCCCGGGGTGGTGGGCCAGAGGACTGGCAGGAGGAGAGGGAGAGAGAAAGTTGGAGAGATGGAGGGGAAGATGAGCGTGCGGCAGGTAGAAAAAAATGCAGTGTTGGGGAAGGAGAAACGGCATATAGACACAAGGAGAAACGGCATATAGACACAAGGAGAAACGGCATATAGACACAAGGAGAAACGGCATATAGACACAAGGAGAAACGGCATATAGACACAAGGAGAAACGGCATATAGACACAAGGAGAAACGGCATATAGACACAAGGAGAAACGGCATATAGACAGCATACAAGAGGCTGTAAGGGGAACAAGAAGTTTCTTTTCAATTATACATGAAGGGAGGGAAAGGAGAGAGAAAACATGGGAAGGGGAAGAGTGACGGGGAGGAGAGGGGAGGAGAGGGGAGGAGGAGTATGAGTATTGACGGGTATGCAAGGAACTCGATGTTCAATCAGGACCCAATGTGAACTCATTGTACGGGGGTACAAGGGAAAGAGCAACTCACTGGATTGGGTGTGGCCCAAAACTTCTTAGTCCCTGAGCCAAAGGACAAGCCCTGCAGAAAGAGCAGAGGATCGGACAAGCGGGAGAAAGAGGGGCGATGAACAAGAGTGCGATGGTACAAAAAAATTTAGGCACCTCAAAAGAAAGAGGGGCGATGAACAAGAGTGCGATGGTACAAAATCACAAAAAGACTGCAAAAACACACAACAGGCCAGAAATTTTCTCAGTGGGTTCTAGCAAATGTGACTGTAACAAACAGCACATTAAAGAACGTGACTGTAACAAGCGGTACCTTAACGAACATGGCAGTGTTCCAGTACCCGCCAGCCTTATTTGCCACAAGAGCGATGCCAAAACTGTTGCTGCTGCACGTGCCAAAGCGGTGGAAGCTGGGGAAGGGAGGAGAGGTGGGAGGAGGGGGGCAAGAAGGTGGGGGAGAGAAGAGGGGAAAAAAAAAAAAGGAATGCTCCTCTCAGCCAAAGGTATTCAGCAGCAGAAAGCGTTACAGATGAACCCAGATTGGCGCTCAGACAACAAAGTCATGATTGAGGACAAAATCTCACCCCATTACCAGTACTGCACCAGCACCTTATGACGAGTACTGCTGCTCTGACAGAGAATACATAAGGTGTAACAAAGCAACTTATAAAAAGTAAGTGAAGACACCTTATTATAACGGGTAACAGACCATCTCATCAGCTGTCCTGTATGGTATGTTAGGGTACAGGTTATAACAAACAACGGTCTGGATTGGCGTGACTTATGACGATTAGCGGAGTCCCTAATAACGAGTACAAGCAAACTTACGAGGTGTCTTGTATGCCGTTGGGAAACAGGTTGTCCTGGGGGTTGCTCTGACTCAGTGTGATTCCCACCGGCGCCTCGAACGTCCCCACCTTCTCGTCCAAAGCCACCAGCGGGTCAACACTCCCATCTCCTACCCCCCCATCCACCGGATCCTGAAACGCCTTGTTATAAGGATCCCTCTTATTGGTATAAGCCGGCGCTGAGTAGCTCCCTTTGTTGCTGCCGCTGCCGCTGCCGCTGCCGCTGCTCCCCGATGGGTCGAAGTAGGGGTCGAGGGGGCCTAGGGAGGCTTGCAGAGTGAAAGGCTCCCATAGAGTGGTGGGGCCGGCTGGGACGTCAGAGCCTGCTGCTGTGTCAGCAAGAGTCGTTACGCCTTTGGAGGAGGATGTCCTGTACAGGGGAGAGGGTGGAAGGGGGGTGGGAGGAATGGGGGGAGAGCCCAGAGGTGGGAGGGAGGGAGAAGGAGCAGGAAAGGGGAGAGTCTGCTGTATCAGCAAGAGTCGTTACGGCTTTGGAGGAGGACGCCCTTTACAGGGGAGAGGGGGCTGGGGGAGGAGGGGAAAGGGCACGTAGGGGGGAGGGAGGGGGAAGAAGCAGGTAAGGGGAGTATCTGCTGTATCAGGAAGGGCTGCTGCTGCTACAGCCTTGGCGTGTTAAGTGGAGGCGTTGTAGGGGGGAGAGAGTGAGCAAGGGAAGGGCCAAGTGGAGCCTGCTGCATCAGCAAGAGCTTCTGCTGCTGCTGCTGCTGCTGCCGCCGCCGCCGCTGCCGCAGGTGCTGCTACAGCCTTGGCTTGCTGGGTGGAGGCGTTGCTGGGAGAGAGTGAGAGCAAGGAAAGCGGGAGAGATCAGGGAATGAAAGATAAGAGGGGGTGGAAAAGCGAAGGGTGCAGAGCGAAGGGGAAGGACTCACGGGCAGGCAGAGGAGGAGCGGCCGATGAAGCGGCAGCCCTTGGCTTGCACGCCGGCATTGCGGCTTAAGTCGATGCCGATTCCATTGTCCAGAAACACCCCGTTCTCCACTATCAGCCGCTCGCTGTTGAAAAAGAAGATGCTGCAGAAACGGGGATAAGATAGGAAAAGGAAAAGTGTGATGTGAGGGAGTGGTATGATGTGAGTGACTGACAGGATGCTAGAGAAGCAAAAACTTTAGGTGAGATTAGACAAAGAAGCTCTTAAGGGGGAAGACAAGAGGGAAAAAAAAGGAGTACACTCACTCACCCTGCCTTGTTGCGGTAAATGAGGAAGTTCTTAAGGGAGACGCGGGGATTCTGGGTGGTTGACGGGTATTTGGGCCGGGACCCATGGGGGTAGGTGCGGAATCCAATGAGGTTGGAGTGGGCGTGGTTGCCGTCCCACGTGCCCCAGTTGTAATAGAAGGGCACTGTTGAGCCAATCTGAGGCAGCAGCCTCGACAGACCCCGCATGTATGGATTGGCCTCCAGCCAGAACCTGATGGAAGGGCGAAGGGGGAGAAATAGGGAGAAGGGTCGTGAGAACGAAGGATTGAGAAGAGGAATGGTCAGTTATGAACAGTATGGAGGAGGGTGAGCGGGAAGCATGGGGAGCGGGGAGAGTGTGGAAATGTGTGGAGCTGACAAGGAGGAGAGGGGGAAAGGGGAGGTAGGGAAGTGGGCAATGGGAAGCAAAAGGGGGAGGGGGAAGGGAGAGGGGGAGGGGGAGCTGAGAGGGGGAAGGGATGTAGACAGGGGAGGGGATCAGAGAGGAAGAGAAAGGGGAGAGGGCTGACCCTGAATCCTCAGAACCAGCGGCAACATTGTCAATAAAGCTGCTGAAGGGAGTGGCGAGCCAGAAAATCGTCGGCTGCTTGTCGGTTTGGAAATCCAGCCGGTTGGAACTTGCTGGTGGGATGACTTGGGTGACCTTCCTCGCGTTGATCCCAAGGTTCCGCCGAAACACATTTCGCATTTCCGACCCCTCCTCCAGCAGGTAGCAGTGGCCCTTCGTTTCGTACGAAACGTTTTCCTCTATTGTCATGTTACCCGTCGCGTGAATCACCATGCATCGCTGCTTCGTGAAAACGATTGCGTTTTTTCGCACCACGTGGTTCTGCCCCTCTTGCCCGCACACATGGAAATGCAAGGGGTATTTACCCAGTGTCCCCTGCTTTCCCAGGGCACGGAATTGCACGCCCACGATTTCTTGGGCTGTTGGAGTCATATAAACCATGAAGTTGCCACCTGCAAAAGGCGGATTAGGCGGTGGAAACAGGAAAGCGATAAGTACCGTTAGAGCCAGTAACCGAGAAATAGCTATCCCATGGAGGACCCTCCGAGAGGACGATAATACCTTGAACCATAGGGTCCTAAAGAGCCGTGTTACCCTGGACCGAGATACGACTGTTCCCATCGCGTAGAGGCTAGTGACGTGAAACAGAGAGACAATAAACTAGCCTCTCACCGTCGTATTGATGCGGCGCGGCCTCGTCGTTCCCGGTGATCACGATGTGGCGGTCTAACAGCGCGACCTCTCCGTAAATCCCCACCGTCCCTCCCACCCCGTCCGAAATCTCCACGCCCTCGTGCCGCTTCTTAAGCGCCGTCTTTAAATTTATCCGGTACCGCCCGTCGCTTTTCCCGGGTGCTGACGCGGGCGTGACGACGGAAACGGACGCGATGGCGTGGTGCTCCGCGTCGTTGAGATCTGCTGACGTGGACGCCAGCGCGATCGTCATCCCGGGTGCCCAGCGCGTCACGTCCGTATCCACGTAGATTGCCCGCGCGCCCGGGTTGGCCGTTTCAGTGAGGCGCACCCACGAGGGCGTGTTGCTGCCGCCCGGCATGCCGTACAACCTCACTTGCCCGCCCACCTGCGCGGATAGGACGGGAGGAGGGGAAAGCGCGGAGGGGGGGAGCAAGGGGGGACGAACAGGAGATTGGATTGGAGGGTGAGAGGGACGAGGAGGGGGAAGGGTTGCGGTGCGGTGCGGGTAAAACGGGATTCGGAAAATGGGAAACGAAAACAGCGTTACTAGTTACTCACCACGGCGAACGTCTTGTGCCCCAAGTCGCGCGGATTGCCTTTATCCGCCGGGCTCTGATATTTGAGTTGGTACGGCTTGCGGCCGCCCATGAAGTTCTGGAACAGCGTGAACGTCACGCGTCCCGCGAAGTGCTTATCCGGCTCGCCCGCCGTCAGGCGACCGAACACCATGATGTAATTAGCGCGCACGTGGATCTTGGGGAGCTTCGGAGAGTCGAGAACCCTGATTGCCGGGAGAAGAGGGGGGAGATGGGGAGTAGAAGAAGGAAGGGGGGGAAAGGGGGGAAATAGGGAGTAGAAGAAGGAAGGGGGGGAAAGGGGGGATGGGGGGGTGGGGAAGAGGGGGTTGAGGGGGAAAGGGGGCAGAGGGGAATAGCGCGGGAGAGAGGGGAGAGAGGGTAAACATCTGCCTGTTGGGCTTGACAATACGTCAGCCGCCTTCAGCCGCCCGAGCACCATGATGACGTAGGTCGAACGCGCCGCATCACCAGGATTTTCGGAAATTTAAGAACCCTAAGAAGTGCAGAGGAGGGAGGGGGGAGCGAGGTGTTGAGGGAAGGTGGAGGGGAGGGAAGGGAGGGGGCGTAGGGGGGGGGAGGGGGAGAGCCGAAAGGGCCAACGGGAAGAGTCAGCAACGCGAATAGCGGAAGCCTGCGGAAACGGAAGCGCTGAAGCGCGAGATACGGGAAACTGTAAATAACGAATTCTCTTTCGACAGAGCAAAGAAGAAGCTTCCAAGCATTGTCTATTGTTAACCTTAACCTTAACTTATCCGTATACTCACTTTAGCCACCCCTTGACGCGCAGTCGTCGCACGCTTATATAGGGTACATCCAGTACTACCGCCACGCCGCACGGAATCGTGACGTCAGCCCATCGCTGCAGCCCGCGACCCGGAACGCCTAGGATGCGAGCCTTATTTCCCCACGTTCTCCAATCGCTCCACCGTTTAAAGCCTCCTGCAGGCGGCTCTGTCATGAGCGTTCCGCACGCGGGGCTGTACGCGTCTGTGGCTCGAAACGCAGCGGCGTGGACTAGCGATATGTGGAAGCTTGCGACGAGGACGATGAGCGCCGCGACGAGGAAAGGGGAGAACTTAGGGGCGACGCGCGGTCTAGCAGGAACGCCGGAACGACGCGAGAAATGTATGGTCGTCATGTATGGCTGTAGTGTCAACTGATAGTACTGAGAGGATGTGTAAGAGGTGATAGTATGTAGACAGCTGCGTACCATGAAGAAAAGCAGCAATGGTTAGGACACGGCCTACGGCTCACGGGTCGAAGGGAGCAAGCGGACGAGAGGACAACCTGCCGAGCTTCGATCGAGGCTAAAAAATGGCGACTTGGGTTTTTGCTGGAAACGAAGCTAGGCGTTGCGAGCAAACTGAGGGTTTGCTGCTGCTACACGTTACGTAAGCGGTCCTAAATACATATGGGTTTCCGATTAGGTCGCAGAAGAAGCCGTTGCATTGCTTATGTAATGCGAGTGGATGGCGAGCAGGTAGTACCTTAGCGTCGGCAACGTGAGAACGTGGAATCTAGGATGGCGAGGGTGTGGATGGACTGTACAGTATGGAGCAAAGTGTGTGCGGGTCGACCGACAAGCGCGGGTCAAGTAAACGGTGGGTGAGTGATGTGTCGTGGGGGTTGTGGAGAAGCGGAATGAACGAAGGTTACGGTGCACGGGCGGCGTGATGGACTGCCTGAACGACGATGGATGGAACTGACGAGAAACAAGGAATTCAAGAAACGAATGGCGAGAAAGAAGGCAGTGAAGTATTCCATTGAACGCTAGTCGCACAGGGAAGAGGGGGTAGGAGGCGGGGGATGGGTCGCACAGGCGACAAGGTGGAGGTCCATTATGAAGACGAGACGAGAGGGAAACGAGTGGATGGACGATTGCTGGCGATATTGCTAGTGGTAAGTTGTAACCACAAGGGTTTTGTTGGACGACGGGAAGCTGCAATGGTAGGAAATCGGCCAGAATAAATTGGGGGTTCGGGGCTTGGGGAGGGGGGTGATGTATGTGTGCGACAAGTTTCGAGCAGGTACGGATGGAGCAGGCTGCAAGGTGACTTGCTGGCGAACCTTCAACGGAGAAACGTGCGGGTCATTGCGATGAAGAACGACCTACAAGAAGCTCAAGTAAAAGGCATCGATTGGTGGACGACGACATATGTGCGTTGGAGTACCTCACCGACATGATGTGTCGCACACATATCGTGGGCGGCGCTACAATGGTTTCCGTCAACGAATGGAGCCGCGAGACGAATGTCCGGTGCGCGACTCGACAAACTTCGTTCGTTCACAGACGGGCAGGTGACGTGACATTCTCTCAGAGCTGTTGGGAACACACCGCCCGATTGTTGCGTCCTTATGCGACTTCAGTCTCCCGCAAACACGGTCAACACAAACACAAACAATTTGTGTTCCATACTCTTGGGCAGATTCGCTCATTTGGTTGGGTAGCCACGCTCGAAAGAACAGCTGCACTGAAACTGTACAATACTGTATTCCGAAAAAACGTCCACGTGACGGGTTAACCTGCTCTGCGACAAGCCTTTCAGCAACTGTTGTACAGATACATACGTCGGCGGTGCGATTTGAGAAGTGCGTTGGCGGTTCACCATTGCCGCCAAAGCCTCCCCAAGTGCAAAACGTCATCTCGTAAAGGGGAACATATCTACACATAAACAGATTCCACTTATCTAAAACTATCTTAGAGTTGTGCTTTGATTTTGAAAGAGGCCCCTAGACTCATCCATCAGCCTTGGTACGGCAAAAAACTCTGACGATCAGTGATACCAAGGAAAAAAAACTGTTATGAGTTGTACAAGAGTGCGCGGAATAACAAATAATGAAGATGTGACTCAATGAACTGACGGTACAATGAAAGGCACGCGATTATATAGCGGGACAACCTAACAAGGCCGGAACCTCGAAAACACGAGGTTGGGTGCAGGTTGGGCAAGGGAAAGCTGAAGGTGACTCGAGGTTGCTTCGACAACAAGCAAAGTGGCCGAACGTGCAATTCCGAAAGTTGGGGTGGTACGCGGTTGAGTACATATAGGAAACCCTAATTTGGGATGTACTCGCTATAGAGTACCCCACTGCACGCTAGACGAATACAACATTCTGACATACCCCCATAGCCAAAGTGGGGTGTAATCAGCACAACAAGTAGGCAGAGCAATTGTTCACAATGATAAGCAAAACTAAAGGCTATCACAGTGGGCAAGTGAGGAGGAGGAGAGATTGAGAGGAGAGGAGATGGTGGGCGGCAGGTGAAGCTACTAGCACACGGCGCAACTGGAGCAACTGGCACACGGGCATATAAGGCAACTGACACACTGGCAACTGGAGCAACTGGCACACGGACAACTGGAGTAATTAGCTCCGCGGCTAGACGAGCGGCAGGAGCAACTAACTCACGGGCGACTGGAGCAACAGGCTCACGGGCGACTGGAGCGACGGGCTCACGGGCGACTGGCGCAACGGTCTCACGGGCGGCTGGAGCTGCTGGCTTCACAGCGGCCACCCCCCTTTAACCTCCCCCATTGTCGAAAAACTCCCGTTCACACACCCCTTGCTGCACCCCTAGCTCCACTCCCATGTCACCCTCCTAGCACCACTCCTTTAACTCCCACACACCCACCCCCCTCAGCGGCAGCTACAGCAGTGGGAGACTGAGGAGGAGGAGGAGGAGGAGCAGGGGACGCCACACACACCCGCCACCCCCATACCCGCCACCCGGCAGTTGCACGAGGGCAGGAGGCGGCAGGAGCGGCTCGTGGGCTGCACGGGCGGCACGCGGGCTGCAGGGGCGGTTCACGGGCTGCAGGGGCGGTTCGCGAGCTGCAGGAGGGGCAGCGCGCGGGCCCCCGAGGGCGCCTCGACAGGCGACGGGAGAGGGGCCGCGCGCGGGCCCCCGAGGGCGCCACGACGGGCGGCGGGAGGGGGCCGCACGTGAGCGCCCGAGGGCGCCTCGACAGGCGACGGGAGGGGGCCGCACGCGAGCCCCCGAGGGCGCCACGACGGGCGACGGGAGGGGGCCGCACGCGAGCTCCTTAGGGCGCCTCGACGGGCAACGGGAAGGGGCCGCGCGCGGGCCCCTCAGGGCGCCACGACGGGCGACGGGAGAGGGGCCGCGCGCGAGCCCTCGAGGGTGCCTCGACGGGCAACGGGAGGGGGCCGCGCATGGGCCCCCGAGGGCGCCACGACGGGCAACCGGAGGGGGGCTGCGCGCGAGCCCCTGAGGGCGCCTCGACGGGCAACGGGAGGGGGGGGGGGGGGGGGGGCGCGTGCAGGTCGACGGGGCAGGAAACCGCCGCGCGCCTCGGGGCGCATGTCGGACATAAAACCGCCGTGCACCCCGAGGGCGTGGCGGGAAGAAAGAAAAAACGTCGCGCGCCACGTGGCGCGCGACAAAAAGGACAGCAGCGGAAGCTAACGGTGGGCCCACAGGCTAGGAGCGTAGCCGCTCTGATAGCATGTTAGAGATAGCAGGCAGAAAGTTAGAACAGTGAAGAGGGTTTGCACTAGCAGGCAGTTGAGTAAATATAGGAAACCCTAAATTGGGTTGTACTCGCTATAGAGTACCCCACTGCAGGCTAGACAAATACAACATTCTCACAGCGTCATATATGCGCCAGTCGTCGGATAGCGACAGCTTTGCGGTGACAGGTGTCGCCATCTGGATGATGCGAAATGGCCCACAAAATCGTGGCCGTAGTTAGCTCGGGCCGGGCAGGCGCAGGTTTTTCGTGCCGAGCAGGACTAGTTGCCCAGCCATCATGATGATTTCCCGGCGCATAAGGTTGATGTATTTGTGGGCAGTTATATTCGCCTTGTCAATTGTATCGGCCGCCTTCTCACGAATCTCTTATAGTTCCATCAGAAATGTTTGTGACCTCGGGACCTGGTTGTCAAGTGTAGTCGTTGTAGGTACCACCGGATCCATCTCATAATTCAAGAAGAACGGGGAGTGATTAGTCGTGCTGAACAGGGCTGAGAAAGTTAGAACGAGAATAAAATGACTAAGTGAAACTTGGGTACAAATACAACCCTAGAAAGCTGTACCCCATATGTGCTACCCCACTATAGCCTACAACATCTATGTCATACAAATCTAACACACCCCCATAGGCAAAGTGGGGAAGAACCAGGGGTCACAAGACCAGTCAAGCAAAGCAAAGCAAAGCTCACGGTGGATCACAAAGTCACCACACATTCCGAGCACAAGTTCAAGGCCAGACGGCCAGTTCACATGCAGGAGCACACATATATATATATATATATAAAAGGCTAAACAAGCAAGAGCAGGAGTATATATATGTGACAGTACAAGCAAGGTCAAGAAGTGAGCAAGTGAGGCAAGACAGGCACAAGACCAAGCTGAGTACAGAAGCGCTGATGATAACAAGGCGCAAGCGCCTTAGTGAAGATATCAGCAGTGTTGGC